TAGTTCATCTAGCGTGCAACTAGAAACTACTCCGAGTTGTTGTCCTCCTCCTCGCTTGTGTCATCCGATGTATCAAGCCACGCCTCTTTCCACCACTCATAGTAGCTAGAGAGGAATGATGCCGCTCCTAGATCGCACTGCGACATCGCCAGTGCCTTCCGACGACGCTCGTTCGCCCGTTCCGCGCGCCGTCTTGCCCTCCTCTCCGCCCAGAAGGTGTTCTCATTGGTGACGTCCTCCGGGTGGCGCTGGCGCAACTCCGCCATGGCTCGCTCGTCCGCCTCGGCGATGAGGAGCCGGTGCTGTCGTCGACGGTGTTCCTAACAGTCGGTGTTAGTTATTAGCCGCGGCGGAGGAGTGACGGCTTGCGCCAGACGTCTGGAAGTTCATCTATGGGCGAGGCCTTCCGAGGCGCCAAGCCGCCGCGTCGTACGCGCGGGCGGCCTTGTGCGCGGTCTCGAACGTGCCGAGGCCGAGGCGGACGTCGCTGGACCGAATCTCAGCGCAGAAGGCGCTGGAGGGGTGCTCACGGACGCCGTGGTAGCCCAAAAATCCCTGGCGGCATGGTGGCGCGGTGGTGGTGCATCGGTGGCGGGGCGAGGAAGCGGCAGAGGAAGCAGGGAGAGGGCGCGTGGCGATGTGGATAGCGATGGGAGGTCGCGTGGCGGACGCAACAATTTATATGTGCGCCGAAAGCAGGGCGCCAAATCTAGCGCGTGACCTCCCGCTTTTTCCTGTGTGCGTGCAATTGTTTCCCGCGCGCCCGAGTTTCCCGCCTCCGTTGAAGCGCGCAAAAACGTCCCCGCACGCTAAAATCACAGTTTGCCTCGTGCGTGGTTTTTGCCGCCGCTGTTGGAGATGCTCTTATAACAATTAGACATGTTGCCCTCTGTTTATCTTGCTAATATGTACTCCGTCGATGTTATATTCGTTAGATCTTATGTGAAGATCCCTGTAATATTTTCTACTTAACGAAGTCTCAGTCAATAGAGATCTAACCACACCCTATTAGAACTAGTATAACGCCCGTGCGTTGCCACGGGCTCTTCAAAATTTATAATCAGTATCTTTCATTTATCATCCCCTCATATTGGGTGATTATGGGGTGCTGTAATTAGAAACACAATAATCAAATATTAGGAAATTTCACCGAACGAACAACAACGAATAATACGATATCTATCAAACGAATAAAATGAGGTCATATTTTTGGTCCGTCATGCACTTCTGTTGAAAAGTGCCTATCCCTTTTAGAATCAACCCACTGTTTGCTCGCACGCAAAAAAAAACATCTCTAAAGTGAGGAACCGATCGGTGCCAAAAAGAACTCAAACTCCTATCCAATCTCGACTTCGTGCTCTTCCACTTCCATTGATAAAGATGGGACGTCAAGGGTTTCATCATCATGACCTCGAGCAGCCGCCGACATCCCTCCCCACAACTACCCCTACCCCCTGCTGCCGCTTGCACAGTCCTTGCTCCTCGAGGGAGCTAGGGACATAATGTTCTCTAGGATGGGCATGACCAGATCCACGAGGAGGCCACATTCTTCCATAGGAACCCAACCAAACACACCACCCTCCGCAACCATCCAATCCCAGCCTAACAAAGTCAAGACCCGCCATCGATCCACAAATTAGGCTCGCCGCATCCAGGTTCACTGCAAGTCTGCGACGAGTCTGTAGTCGACATCTTGACTTTGGCTATCCCCACGGAAGAATCATCGGATCCTGCTTACTTTTACCATCACTTTGTCTCTTCCCAAGGCAGCGACACCACCCAGCCAATCACCACCACCGCTTGCGGCTTGCCTACATAAAATCATATGAGAAATCCCCACGGCGGTGCTGTAAGATCACCTTGGCGACCTCGACAGTGACCGACTGGTCTAAGATCTAAGCTAGCCGCTCTTTGTAGAAACCAATAGAAGTAGGCATGTGACTCAGATTTATTCTTTGGTGTGCATGCGTTTCTTGCTGCCCACCAGCTCTTGTCTACAACTCGCCTATATCTGTACCAGCTCTTGGTCTACAACTCGCCTATCTCCATGCTCGAGAATCTGGAGTGTAGTAGTTAAAAAAAAGACCAACTTTATACTCATTTGATAATTCAACGTGCATGGGCATGCACCGGATGGAATTCACGCTCTATGTAAAATCTGGAGTGTAATGACCGTGGTTGATGAATGAAAGTCTTATTTCCGTAAAAAAAGAAGTTAAAGGTGAATATATTCCTCATGTGTAGAGTACAAACAGAGCATATAGTGGTGACCTAGTTTCTTTTGATTGAGGTGAATACATGCCAGTACTAAAATCTTCTAATTTCTTTTGATTGAACCCAAGTTGTTTCTTTTCTTTCGATTCAGCAAAGCTAGTTCGAATAAATACGATTGTCTATATCTTAACTCCTTTGCCAATTAAGCTTCAAAATTGCAGTCTGATTCAGAAATAATCGAACGATTGTGTCGTTAACTCCAGGAGATTCTCGTTAGATCTTAGGAACGCTGCAAGCCATCATATCATATAAGAATAAGATCGACAATTGATATGGACAGATCTTACTACAATCATATTACTACTACTCGCACACTGATATGGACAGATCATACAAGATCGAAGGTACGTAAAACAAGGTCCTCTAGATTACGAAAAACTGTTTGCTTCGCCTCATGTGAGACGGACCCCGAGCTATTCTTCAATGGCGCACCGCGCGCACATATTTGGCGGCGAAGTAACTCGTTATCCTAAGGACGTCCCCGTCAAGCCCGTCGACAGCGTCACCCTTTTCCATCTCCCCGGCTGGACCTCACCGAGTTTCCACCGTCGACGGCCTGCCGCTGCCGCATTCTGCTGCACGAAGGAGATCAATGACGGTTTAGACGTGCACGGGTGCAGCAGAGCAGATCGACCGATGGATCGGTTGACAACACGTACCTTCGCAGGCCGCGTGGCCGTGGTGGGGGGCGGCGGCGCTCGAGGTGCCCTGCGCCTCACATTCGCAGGGCGAGACGGCGCTCGTGGCGCTGGTGCCGATCTCCTCCTCCGGACGAACGAGGAGCCAGTCGTCCAAGCTGGGCGAGGGAGCCAACGGCGGCCTGCAGCGCTGCCGGCTCGACTCCTTGCACTTGCAGTAGGCGATCGCGCTCGCGACGGCCTCCTCCCTCGCACGGGCGGTGCCGTCCTCGCCGGCGGCGACCCTCCCATCCGGCTTCGTCTCCCGGCCCTTCCGTCTCCCGCGCCCGTCTGGCCGCTCGTCCGCAGCACCGGTGCGCTGCAGATTTCTGGCAAACCTCTGCAGGCACCGCCTTAGCGCGTGGCCCTTTCGTGCGGCCGTGTCACCGCCCTCCCTCACCGGTGAGCGCGCGCTGTTCAACGAGCTGCTTCGGGCGCCGAGCAAGGAGGAGGAGGTGGACGACCTCGACGCCGGGAGGAGCCCGGGTTGGAGGCCACCTTAGCGTCGCGAGGGCCGAACGCCGGCGACGAGGAGCTGCCCTGCTCAACGCTCGAAGCGCCATCCGTGGTCGCTGTCGTCGCCACGGCCGGCGCCATCGCCGCCCACACGGCGCACGGGAACATCCACGCCATGACGACCTGGAAGAAATGCATGGTGATCAGGAGCACTGGGGTTTGCTTGCAGGCCCTTGTGCACGTAGTACGTCCTTGTATATATATACACGTCGCGATTGCGATCGCGTTCGCCTCCGACTCCGGCGGTGGTTGCAGGGGGGCACGACGGCGTCTGCGGGCACGTGATTTCCGAAATCCGAGATGGCACAGCGAGATTGCCAAAATCCCGTGGCTAATCTGTGGAATACTCCGGCGGTTCCTTCCATATACGGAGGGAGTACTAATTACTGCACGGTTTAATTACTCGATCGCTGATTTATCGGATGAGCTAGTAATGCGGACGGATCGCTGATTTATTACCATATTCATATTTCCCGAGTTATGGCCTTACCATACCTGGATTGATAGCCTTTGGGGTAATTTAAATTTATTACCATATAATTACCATATTCAAAATTTCCTGAGTTATGACCTTACCATACCTGGATTGATTTATTACTGTACGTGGATTAATTATGATTTATTACTATATGATTTATTACTATACGTGGATAGCCTTACCATACCTGGTGGTAATTTAAATTTATTACCATATTCGATATTTCCCGAGTTATGGCCTTACCATATCTGGATTGATAACCTTTGGGGTAATTTAAATTTATTACCATATAATTGCCATATTTAAAATTTCCTGAGTTATGACCTTACCATACCTGGATTGATTTATTACTATACGTGGATTAATTATGATTGATTACCATAAATACGTTGGGTATTGCCGGTCAGACGAGAAAAGAGAAAAACCGATGGGAGGGGCTGGTGGGAGGTGGGACGAAGAAAAACCGGTTGAAAATAAACCGGTTGAAAATAAACTGGTTGAAAGTGGGGGGACTATTCAACCAATTCGTTCATTAGGAGTAGAGATAGTGCAAAGCTCCATTAACAACAACAAATAAAACAGTGCAAAGCATGCAAAACAACGGAAACATTGCGGATTTGCAGCCGGTTTGGGCTCCCATGGCCGAACACAAGACTACAGAAAGCGGCTCCCCCCTTGTGTACACTAGCTTCGTCGTCCTTCATCTCCTCTGAGCATGGCTCGACCATGGCTGGACGTCAAGGATGCCTCTACAGACTCAGACATATCTGCTTCCTGGCCTGTCCATGGCTCGGTGTCCATCGATCGTCTTCTCGCATGACCTTCTGCTGAGCACCTGTTCGGTCGTGTTACAAACTTATTGTAACATTATACTTGTCCTGCACCTCGTTGATCACCTGTTCTTTGTTGGTCCCGTCGGTCACCTCGTTGATCACCTGTTCTTGTTTGTCTCGTCGTGCACCTTGCCACCTCCTTGATCACCTATTACTTGGAGTGTTTCAGCGGCATTAATAACTTTGACTCGATGCGCGACGGCTAGGGCTATAGCCGGCCGGCTAAACCCAGAAGACCAGGTGGATGGTGCAATGGTGCAGCCCGAGGTCCCGCAGCGGCGACTCGTCCGGGCGTATCTCATCGGTTTGTCCACCGGCGAGCCTCAAGAGCCGGAACGGCGGCGTCGCGGCTGCCCCGCCGGAGCAGGCGGCAAGCGCCGAGTGGCAGTACCGGAACAGCGCCGTCGCCGGACGCCCGGCGCCGAAGGTCTTGCAGATGAATCGCCCGTCCGGGAGCCGCACCCGCAGCGTGCACGCCTCCTCGCCCATCGCAGGCTCGTCCTGGTCCACCGGCGCCACCGGGACGGAGACCTGTGGCCGGATGGTAGCGGTGGCGCCCGCGTCGTGCATCGTTATCGCCCTGAAGTACGCCGTCAGCTCGTCCACCGTCGCCGCCTGGCCGGAGGCCTGTGGCCGGTTGGAGCCGTGCATCGTGACCGCAGCGAAGGATGCCATCAGCTCGTCGACATCCATTGCTGCCTGCTGGGTTTCGATCAAGCGACTTGACGAGAGCTGTATGGAGCGTCCAGGCTGTGCTCTGCTTTTAACACGGGCGAGGACCGTGAGGAATCTAGTTAGGGCACACCCGGGCACGTCGTCCGACTCGGACAGTGGTTCGTGTGACCTTTTTCTTCGGGAGGGGAACGGATCGCGTGACCTGATGATATCTCCTTGGGTTTGGCCTGATCCTAGTTTTTTTTTGATTTTTTTATGAGGAGTTCTTTTTAGGTTTTTTTAAGAGGCCTGATCCGAGTTGAACAACAATGGCATGCGCCTCGGAGCGAACCGGCGCTCACACGCTCCGTGGTGTGGGCCGGCCCGTCAAGGAGATGTTGCTCGCTAACGTGCGAAATCACTAATCGAGGAGCACTCATTTCAAAAACCACTTCCACTCTCTCAAATATACAGTATGAAGATATGTTTTATGATGAATCTAATAAAACTCATTTGATGTTATAAATGTTGGTATAATTTCTACCGAATAGACTTGGTCAAATTTAAAGATGTTTAAATTAAGATAAATCAAGAACTTAAGGTTTTTTTTTTGAATTTTGAACATAAATATGTTGGAATAGAGTAGTACATGGCTATTTTTACATGAAAAAAGAAACTAAATCGGCAAGGTTTTAATTGTTTGTAATCACGTGGTGGAGAATATGACGTTCGTTCACACCACACTCCCCTCCGAGCTCTCATTCTCACTCCGACCACGTGCTCTCCCGAGTTTGGTTGTGCTTCCGGGAGAGCAGCTCTGCCAAGTGCCAGTGCACTTGAGGAGGTGGTACCTGCCAAGTGCCAGTGCAGGGCGGAGACAGGCCATATGGTGGGCACTCGGCAGCCAGCTCGTGTCCACACGCGTGGTGACTCTGTTTCTGAGTTTCGCCTTCCTCATCCTTGCTATATAGTTTGGACAATTTTTTATGTTACTTCATTTTTTAAATTCATGTAAATGTGCAGCTATACCCCCCATTGGTCCAATCGTAGATCCAACAATGGTTACTTGGATCAGGTTCTCCATCGTAGTTGTAGTGATCATTACGGCTAGCTGAAGAACTCCTACACACTGTAATTTATAGCCACGGAGACACCGTCTCCCAGTAGAATGCGGAGCACGGACCGCCTCCGAGTAGAATGCATAGCAAGGACCGCAAGTAGATTTTGCTTCCCACATACACGCCTGCGACACCTAAGCTAGCAGGTCAGTGGCGTTTGTGGCGCAAACTACGAACGCCAATGAAGGTCAGGGTGGACGCGTCCACCTCCAGCACAACATTGTATTCCCTCACTCTTTCTGCGCGTCGACAAACAAGTTCTCCATGATGACACAGGTGCAAACTTCGGCAATGAGAGCTGAGACACGGCACATGAACAATGCCTAGAAGTTGAGGGGCATGGGGG